AAGCAAACCTTCCTGTGAGCCTGTTAACTTTAATACAATATATGTCCAAATTTAATATAGTGGAGATCAAGACAGACAAACAGCCATGACTGGACAGTCTGAAGGATTAGAGAACCCAGGATGAGAAGAGGTAAATATGCCCACAGTAATGACTCTCTTTGCAGCCAGAGAACAATCCTGCCCCTGCAGCAGGTTCTGACAAACAGGATGACTATTCTTCATTAATGTTCCATTATTACTTGGATGTTTTCCTTCCCAGCACATGCACTTTTAATTTTGAAAAACAAACAAAAACCTACCCTAAATCTGAACTGCTAAGGAACAGGCAACCATTCAATGTAGTATATTTAGTTAACATCATAAAGCATAAAGAAATCTATGTTAAAACTCATAATCCCATACACTAAGTGAACATTCTGACTGCAGAATGAGCTTCTGCAAGGAATCAGAAAAACTGTGATTCTTTTTTTCCTCTTCCTTATTTCTTAGATTACATTTTGGGAAGAGTAAGGTTAGGGGGACAGAGAGATTACCTAATGACCCTTTTTACTATAACTATTTCTTTTAAACTGGAGATGATTTAACATTTACTGTTGTGAAAGCTGCATTGCTATGGCAACCTTCTAAAAAAAAGGATCACTGTAGGTACATCACAGTCATATTGACATGCAAACACAGACATGAGGTTTTTCTTGAAAGACAGAAGCATCTCCAGATTTTCTATTTTATTTACATGATTTAGGCACAGGTTGAAAGAAGTAATCTGCTTTCTTGAATATTTACATTCTCATCTATCTGTACATGCCTTAACCCTGTATGAACTCCAGCTGCATTTTAACTGAGCAACACACACTGAACTGCTGGAGATGAAAGGAACATTTTGTTTTTTCCTCATGCAACTGTGCTGCAAACAAGTCTAAATACTCTTTTAAGTAATTTTTATTATTTTTATATGGCTATAATTGTTAAATACCAGTTTACTTATCAAATACATGTGCTTTATGTTCACATAAATGTTAAATACCAAAAGCCTGATTTGAGAACTGAAAAATATAGAAATGTTAAATGTTGAATCACTGCATATTAACTAAAAGAATGACTAACAATTCACATTCAACTGTACACCACTTATTTTTAGTTAATTTTAAATCATATCAGTAATTTTCTTGTTCTGATACAAGCCTTTGCACCCATTTTACTGTCATGTTAACATCACTTATCCCATAGCTGGAGAATATAATCCGGAATTTATTTTTCATACCTTTTCTCAACTGAGTAATGACCTTGGTGATTTGTTTGTAAGAAAAGCTCAAGGAATAAATATACATATGTACAAACCACCTTTTCAGATTAGAAGCTATATTAACATACTATACTTAAGGTATCAGTGCATTTGCAATCAATAATGCAAAGTACAGGCACCCTTTAAAATCACTACATTCAAAATAAAAGTGGGTGGAAATAAATTTTAGTAATATTCAGATATAACACAGGAACAGGAGGAAAGAACCCTGCCCAGGTTGAAGGGATTTGTGTTCTAGTTCCTGCCCCAAAAAACTGTGGAAGATTTTTATCAGAAGATTGCCTAAGGTAACAATTTCCAATTAATAAATGTGGGACTTGCAGAATTATAGTTTTGGTAGCAAGCACTGAAATTTCCTTCTATTACTTTTGTGCTTAAAGTAGTTTTTTTTGGCACTCAAATCCCAGATGGATACCTAAACAAAGAATGAGTCTTTTGAGTTAAGAAAGTACTTCCCAAATTTCCAAACTAATGGCGGTAAAATTACATAGGATGCTCAGTGTGAAGCATGAAGCCCCACTGGTTTAACTGTAAATCACTCAAGAATTTGTGGCTGGACCTCTGTAAGTTTTGTTTTTCAACAAGTTCAAATGGTTGATTTATAAATCAACACAATTTACATTTTCTAAAAGGAGCAACAGCTGGAACTGCTGGTGCTGTGTTGACAGTTCCCCACAATAATATTTAAATAGAGAACTAAAGCCAAACAATGGTTTGAATTTGTACAATTTGTGCAATTTCTGTTCAGATCAGGTTGAGAGATGAAAAGAAAAAAGTCACCTGGGAGCAGAGGAGGATGCTAAGTTAGTAATTATGTCTCTTGGTACCTGTTTTGTTTACTAATCAAAGGTCTAATTGCTTTGCTCTATTTTAATTAAAAACATTCTTATTTTAATTACTTACTTTTCCAGCACACATTAGCACTGAGAGAAACCACTGAGGGTACAAGTAATATGATGAAGAGTTTGAAATCAAGCTTTTAAAAATGTTTTAATAATTTCACAAGTTTTTAATAAAGAAAAATTAAGCTGTTCTTCATATATGTGGCTACTACTTCTCCAAAGATTTCATCCTAGCCAAAAAAAAACCAAATCTTTTTTTCTTTTAACTTAGAAAGTCAACTGATATCAAATATAGCTAATACAGGACATTAACAATAACATTAGCTAAAAGAGCAGGTGTAGGAATATGAAAGGTTTGATGGCATTTAGATATGCTAAAGGGTTCAAGGTGGCTGAATCTCACCATGACAGCCATGCTCTTAAGAACCAATCTCAGCATTATTAGCAGTTATCTTTGAAAATTTAGAGAACTTTATCTTCCCCCCTGACAGAGGCTGGGAAAAAGCAAACAGTGCCCCGTGAAAGAACTGGAGAACTCACACAAATTCCAGTTCCTGGGAAGATACCAGGACAGGTAACCTTTATGTAAGTACTTTAATTAAAAAGGACATATGTAGCAACCATTGCCATTTTCCTATAAACTGCTTTTAACATAGGTTAAAACATCCTCTGTTAAGCAGGTAGGTCTTGGCATGCAGGGAAACTATAAATCCTCAAGTCTGGGATCCAGCCCTGCCTAATGTTCATGTGTGCAACCTAAGAAGGGCTGGTCTATTAAAAACTAATATTTGTCTCTTAACCTTATTAATTTGTCTGTGTAGCTGTATGTTACACAGCTGATTTGAAAGCCACACACAGTAGTTATTAGTTCACTGTCAAAGTGGCATTGCCAGCTGAGATTCTGCAGAGGCCTGTTCTGAGTGTGCTTACTCCAAGTTGTAAATGAAACAGAAAATCTACTCATTAAACTTGAGGGAAACAGGAAAACGGAGAGCTCTAAAAAACACGGGGGCAGATCATTACAATTTGTTTGGGAAAAAATCAGGATTTAATTTAATAAGGACAAATGCAAAGTGCTACACTTGGTTGGAGTAAATAATCAACTGTTCAAATACAGAATGCTCCAAGTTCAAATATAGGAACAACTGGCAGTGTTTTCAGAAAAGAATGAGGGAACTTTAGTGGAAGTGGAATATGAGTCAGTATTACTGTGCAGCTTTCCCACCAGCAATCACAATGGGATAGATAAAAAGGAGCTGTGAAAGTAATCCTGTGCTAGCCAACCCAAATAGATAATCAGACCCCAGGTTTGATTATCATGTATTTGATGGGGGAGGAAGGTCTACTGAAGACTCAGGAAAGCAAAAAAAAAATTACAAGAGATGTATAGAAAATGTGACTGGAAAAAACTCTGAGGGAATCTGATTATTTAAGTCTGAAGCTGCCTCAGGAAGACAAAGTGATGTAGTTTTCAGGAGAGCAGGAAGTAACTAAGGCAATGAGCTGCTCACCACTGTGCTGTGTACAGGACAAGAAGTGCTCCTGGCTACGGTTAAAAACTTTGTGCAGCGTGGCTAAGAGACCACAATGGATAGGGCAGGGAAGCTTAATTAAAAAATAGGTATTTATCAGAATATCACGTATCTGATTCCATCTTTAGGTGGCAGGGGAATAGGCTAATTCTTGAGGCCTTTCCCACACCAGTATTCTGATTGCCAATCTTGTATTTCCATAATGCCACAGCATAAAGAATGTTTCAGGCAGAATACCTGCCACTGAATGACCTCTGGGAAGAGACAAATAGTACACATGGCACAGCTGAAGCAGGGATGAAAGGCAAAGGGAAACTCAGTCCTTGCAAGATTTGCATTGATTTTAGCCTTGTTTTGGTACACTTCTGTCAGCTGAGGGCAACTCCAGCATCTTCCTCTTCTTCAGTAAAAGGTCATGCTGCATTTACCAGCCTAACACAAGCTGGAATTTCAGTGCCTAAATGCTACCAGCCAAAGAATGTTATGGATGCAATTATGAGAAGCTTAAAAAGTATCTCAGAATTGGCTTTCCTAGAAAATCAGGATTAGCTATTCAAGCCACATTTGGGAAACTCGTATTTGTAAAAATTATGCATTTTGCTGTAGTGACAGCCAACTTCAAGTACAGTAAAAAGCTGCTTAATGTACAAATCTTACTTCTGATCAGTTACTGCACGTGCAGAGGAACAGCCATCAGCTTTTTTTTTACACACTTCCATCCATTAGTGACTGGTGCAGGGGCAGCACAAGTGCAAACACCCACAGGAACAACTGAGTGTTTTTGTTCCTCTACTTCAAGACTAGCACTAGGGCACGAGATTCTGAGAGACACTGCCTGCTTTCAACTCACCTTGGTACCCAGGGAAAATCAGCTGTCCAGGCCTGGTAACACTTGGAGTTGTGAACAACATCTCAAATCCAAACTGAGTCACTTTAACTTTTAAAAATTTCACCATTTGCCAGCAAGGTCACGACCACTGTGAACAAGCTTCTCCTTCTCCAGCAATGAGGGAACAAGCACTAAGAGCACGTGTCTGACACTGCCAGGGTGCCTGGGGAAGGAAGTGCCAACTATACATTAGCATTTTTGTCCTTGTGAACACTCACCTCCACTTGTCTTTCCTGGAGATGACTCCTCAGTAGGGATGCTAACAAGATGCTGAGGAGCAACGTTAATTCCTGTTGCCTCTATCCTAAGTTTTCCACAGCCCACAGAGTTTCCTTGCGAGAAATGATGAAATGAGCAAGATTCATTAAACATATCATCCCACCCTCTTCCCTCCACAAGCCCAAGCAAAACAAAACAAGACTGTGAAAGCACCCAACACTTTTAATATTTTTATTGTGCGTTTTGTAAGTGCTTAAAGACACCACATCAGACTGTATCCATTGTGTTGTCCATACGTAGTTTGCCACATATAAAAAGACAGGCAGACCCCCCGAAGCTTTCATACTGCAACTCAAAGAGACACAAATTAGATACAATAGTACCATCTCATTATACAGAAGGCAAACCATAGAAAGTATCTCCGATCACACAAAACAGAGGCAGGAACTGAAACAGACCTTCCAGAACTGTGTTTCATCAAAAATGCTGCGTGCTTCTGGCAACTTTAAAAGAGATTAAAAATTATGTTAATCTAGTCAACTGAAAAACATTAGTTAGAAATAAGCTTTAAGAAGTTCCCGATTCAGAATAAAATTCAAGTGTAACTTTCAAACAAATAACAGGTACAGTGGGAATAAACAAAACCCTTTTTCCTCCTTCAGTATAAACTGATTGCCAGACCAGTTTGTCATAGATTACTCTTCTTTCTTTCATATATAGAAGCATACAAATTATTAAAGTAATTCTCGGAGGATGAAATCAAGTTGTCAAGGTCATAATCCACTTCAAAGGTAGGTCTCTCTCCAAAAACTACAAGAGCAAGAAATACAGCAAAGTGTGCAGTAAGTCCCCATATCTTGAATGACTTTTTATGTTCCTGGTCATAATATATAAAGCAGTGCATCAGAGTTAAGGAACCTGATGAGGTTTTATAGGACAAGGCCTTGTACTTTAAGGGCTTGATGAAGTACTCCAAAGGCACAAAAAAAACCTCGCTCACTTCATCTGGATTAGGAGTGGCCTGGAATGCATCCTCTATAAATCCTACAACTGGTGTCACCAAATGATTCATCTAAAAGGAGAGAAAAAGAAACAATAAGAAAACCCTATCAACAAAACCCTCAAACATTAGGTTTGTACCAAGTACAAATGTTCTTTATTTTAAAAGCATTTCAGCTGTTGCAAAATGAGTACAAGAAGCATATGAACTATTCTTAACTGTAATGCAATTTAGTCCCTCTAATGGCAAGCTATGTAATTTGGTTTTAACAATTTAAAATTATCTTTTTGTATTTGTTAAACATGATTTTACAAATATTCAGTTCATTCTGTATAATCATATTGCAGTTAAAAAGGCTTGTCACTCTGCTACAGAAATAAAAAGCATGGATGCTTTCTCATGGGTCTTCCTTATTTACTTTGCCAAATTCTGATTTTAATCTAAATTTTCCAAATCACCCATGCTTTATCATATTTCTGTATCTGTTTTCCTAGGATATAGGAATTTTCCTGGAATATAGAAATATGTTCCTATAGATACAGAAATATGATTAAAGCATATCTAGCTATAGAACACATATGCTTTTTGAAACCACCTATCTATGGACATTTTAATTTTAAATGTAATCCCTTCTCCCATAGGGAGGCAAAACCTACTAAAATAGTAGTTTGTATCAAGAGCACACCAAAATTCGTTAAGATATGTTGCTAGCTTTATTTATTCAGACTAACAAAGATCATTGTTCAGTAGAAAGGAGTAACACCAAAACAGCATTTGTGCTCTTTCATGCAAGGCTGGAGAGACTCCATCCAAGTCAGAATCACCTGGAATTCTGTACAGAGAAGACAAAGTAGCTTCCAACAGGTAAAATTTTTGAGGTCCAAAACCAACATGATCTTTTCTACTGACTGAGACAATTTACTGGAAAACACTGAAAATTTGATCATTTTTACACAGAGCCTCTGAGCTACATGGCTTTAATGTTATCTGCACAGAAATTATAATTTAAGAAGTTAACTAAAGCATTTCGCAATAAAATTTCAAAACTGGTTCTTCTGGTTTTTAATGGGGAGAGGATACTGCTAACAGATAGAAAAACATAGTAATAAACTGTTACCTGGAGAACAAAAATAGTCTTTAGAAACAGCAGGCCCTCTGTGCTATGGGAAAACGCATCTTCTGCAACACTGAAGATTGTTATTGAAATTGGCAGCCGGTTAATTTACAAGCAGAGACCAACACTCCAAAGACAACTCCGGGAGTCTCCCTGATGGAGTTTCCTATGGAATCCCAGTGCACATCACCTCTGGCAGGCCCTTTCTGCCTGCACAGCCCTGGTGTCAGCAGGACACTGAGTGAGAAACTTGTGAGGCTTCCGCAGGACACTGGAGCCCTGTTATACAGCCTGTCAGGAACATCTGCTCCGGTTTTGGGCTAACCTCATGGTAAAGGGTATTTTCCTTGCATCTTATCCAAACTTCCACATTGCTGCTGGTGTCCATTGTCTCAAGAAGAGTCTGGTATCATTCTCTCTACAACCACCCAGGAGAAGAGAACAGATAGATCCCCTGCTGGCTTTCAAACTGAGCAAACCCACCTCTCTCATCGTCTCCTCATAATCCATGTGCTCTAACACCCTTACTGTCTTCATGGCTCTCTGCTAAACTCTCACCAGTGCAGCACTGTCACTCTGGTACTCCAGTGTGTCACTAACTGGTGCCTCAAGGCTGGTTTGACAAATACCAAACACAGAAAAAAAACCTCTTCCCTTGAGGTTTGAAAAGGTCACTGTCAACCTCACAAAATATAACAACCCATCCTATTTTCTAATTTTATGTTGACTTACCTTATCAATTCCAGGCACCAGCCTACAGATCACTTCCACCTTCTCTGGCTGGAGTCCAACTTCTTCTTTAGCTTCTCGGAGAGCAGTATCAATTTCATCTTTATCACTGGCTTCACTTTTACCTCCTGGAAAACACACTTGCCCCGGTGATCTTCTCAGCTAGAATGTAAAGGAGCATTACTGTTAAATATAACAAGTTTTATATTTCTTCTTGGATGCACACAGATACTTGCTGGTATTGCAGCATCACTTTATGTTTATCTTTTCAGTCAAAGCTGCTGGAAATGGTGGTTAAGGTTTCTGCAGACCAGAAGAAACATGCCTTAGCAAGAGCTACACAAGAAAAAGCTGAGCCTATCCCCAACTAATCCATAAACCCTCACTCCCAGAAATACACTGTATCCATATAGCGTTGTGTAATTCATACCTTAGCTTCTGCTTTAGTATGTCAAAGTTTACATTTTGCATCATCTTGTTTGCATAAGAAACTGACAGATGAGTCCGGACAGACAACTTGAATAGCAAGATTAAAATACTCCAAGTAAGAGCAAGAACTTCCGAAAGACATAATTAAATAATGTACTTTTAAGTACGTTCCAATAATAGGCTTGTGCATCAAAGATCAGTAAAAAATCACATTTACAATGAGCTTATCAGCTACGTAACTGTAATTATTTGGATCTTTCTAAGCAAAACCCAAAGTATTTACTGCAGACTGAAAAGTCTCATTAATAAAAGCTGCACTGCATTGTAACTTTTCTTCTTGAAGTCACCGTAAACAATCATTTCCTTTCCTGCTCTGGGGATCTTTTCCTGTCACGGGTTTCCGGGGATCCGACATGTTTCTAGCACGAAAACACCAGAATCACGGGAGAGTAAAAACACATGGTCGTGCCCTTGGGCACGAGTCGAGGGGGGGCTGTGCAGATCCCGGGACAGCGGGAGGGTCGGGATGGGGCTGTGCAGATCCCGGGACAGCGGGAGGGTCGGGATGGGGCTGTGCAGATCCCGGGGCAGCGGGAGGGTCGGGATGGGGCT